TCTGCCACATTCTGTGTGTGGGTTCAGTTGTCTGGAACAGAGGGGCTGTTAGCGAACAGCGTGGCCCTGACCATTCAGAAAGAGACAGTGTGCTTGGTGGCTCTGTGGGTTTTGGAGGCAGCATAAGCTGCAATTGAAAACACCGTCCTGATCCATTTCTTGGGGTCCTAAGGGTACTCATGCGGCTGCAAGTCTGAGTGGGGTCAAGAGGAAGGGTGAGCTCTGCCATAGAGGGAGGCTGGCGGAAGTCACCCTGCAGATTCCCCAGCGTGGAGGCCCCATAGCTCCCTGGGGAGGTCTCAGTGCAGACTTAGGATCCTGTAGCCAGGCCAGCTGTTCTGTGGCAGAGGACTGATTGCTGTTTAAAAATCACTTCCTGGCATGTTATTGTGCCTCCATAGAGACCGAACAGCCACAGAATAGCAAGCGGCTCTCCGAGTGAAGTCACCCCTTGAGGGTTAGATGCTCTGATGCAGAGTCAGTCCTGAGGCTGAGCAGACATGGCAAGGATCGCTTACTGTGTGATGGAAGGAGACCGTTTAGAACTGCATGGAACAAAGTTGGAGGGCACAAGTAAGAACCAGGAGCTAGGAGGCTGGACCTTCTTGTCCCCACCTCTCCATGAACAGACGCTTGTGACAGCATGGACATTCCATCTGGTCACCCAACAGAGGAGAAATTCAGACATGGTTCACAGATAGGTTGAGATATTTAATGTTGTTGTGTAATAATCAATCATATCTAGCATCTCCATGTAATTATTTATACTCTTAGCATATGTATTAAAATGTGGTAAAATTATAATATTGTCTGTTTCTGCTCATGGCACTGGACTGGGCTTCACTGCAGTTCCATGCTGGAGGACTCCCAAAGGACCAGGGCTACTTCCAGGGACCCGCTTCCTGGGGTAACTCGCTGTGCCTTGACTCGGGTGCACTCGAGTTCTGCTTCCTGATCTGGCCTCTCTGATGCTGCAGCCTGGGGCACACTCAGGGATCCTCTGGAGGTGTGAGATCATTGACCCCTTTGCGGCAATCCCTGACCAAGCAGGACGTGGACCCAGGAGTGAGTGGTCTCCCTCTGATCCAGGTGAACAGTTCTGAGGCTCCTCCTATGGGGCTCTCACAAGTCCCAAAGGGATAGGACTCCCACTTTCCCTTGAGCAGTGATGGACATGAAAAACTACCTTGTTCTGACTTTGCTTCTGTACTAGTTAGATTTTTCTATATAACAAAATATTTCCAACTTCAGTTGCTTAAGATCACAACCATTTATTTAAATGGCTCCTTCATTTAAATGGCAGTTCTGCTGATCTGGCCAGACTTGGCTGCTCTCAGCTGGGCCTGCTCCTCCACCTGTGGTCAGGTACTGGGTCAGAAGGGTGCAGGGGGCTGGGGTGGCCACAGTCAGTCTTTGTTCTGCTTTCTTGGAAAAAAAAAACCAGGATAAGACAGCTGGCATTTGAAAAACCGGACTCTTTTACATTGTTTCAGTAAAATTCCATGATGAACTTTTCATTGACAAAGAAGAGCTTGTTATTGGTAGAGAAGCAGAAAATACTGGAGCTAAGCCTGCTTAATGTATGTATGTATTTGGGGCTTTATTAGAAAATTAAAAACACAAGGTGTCAGGCTGGGGTTGGGGGTGGGGCTCAGTGGCAGAGTGCTCGCCTAGCATGTGTGAGGCACTGGGCTCGATCCTCAGCACCACATAAAAATAAAGAAACAAAATAGACTCACTGACATTTGTAACCGTGGAAGATGGTATCAATCACTGGGGTTATTCTGACTCTCAGCTGCATGGAGGGTAGGTTTCATACCAACAAATTCTGCTGAATGCCCCCCACATCTCCCTCTGAATCCTGAATCTGACCACTTGTCCCCACCTGCTGTCAGCCACCATCATTTCTTACCTGGCCTGCCACGTCCTTCTGACTGGGCTTTGGGCTTTCACCTGGTTGCTCCTTTCCGACTCTCTGTGTCTCAGAAGTCGGAGGGGTCCTGGTAACACCCAGAGCCGAGCTCCTTCAGCTCATGGTCCCCCGCACCTCCCGCCACCCAAGCTGAAAGGCAGCATGCACTCGCTCTGAGGGCCCAGCACCCTGGCCTGGTTGCCCTCTGGTCTCTTCTCCCGTCCTTCCTCCCTCGCTCCAGCAGCTCTGGCCTCTTTGCTCTTCCCAAGTGCCCTGAACCTGCTCGTGGCACAAGACCTTGCCGTGGGCTCCCTGTGGGAGGGGCTCCCCCGGGACATCCACCTGCACCCCTCCAGGGGAGCATCATCTACCTTGGCCACTGCTTCACGCCCCGGTCTCCAAGAGGCCCCACCTCCCTCATAGCACAGACCCTGGACACACTGCAGCTGATTCACCCCATAACCTCCTCAGGGTCCCACATCTGACAGAGACTGCCACGTGAGACCCCGGTTCACAGGCCCCATCACAAGAGATAGTTCTCTGTCTAAAGAAGGAGGGTTTGGCAGCTGATCTCCAGAGAAGATTTTCACTCGTATTCCTACATCTAACATGGCTCCATGGCATCGTGATGTGCAGATTAATGGATGTGCCCTCGATCCCGTGCCATGTCGGGCACGGAGCTGGGACTCTCCACACTCCTCCCAGTCCAGCCCACCCCACCGCCAGCCTCTGCAACACTGGGGCTCAGCAGGAACCGTCCCCTGCGCAGTGATGGGGAAGAGCCATCCCAGCCTGTACTTTGTCACTGTCTCTTATTCAATATTCCCTGGCAGGTGCGGGGAATGGCTCATTCCCCTGCTCCCCGGAAAATGTCCCTTTCATGTTTCATAAACAACAGCTTCGCTGCACCATTGTCTCTGTTAGTTATTTTCATAATTCATAATTATCTTAGTTCTTAAAATGTAGACGTACATTTAAAAGCATGATCCAATCGCGCTTGATTGCCGCCACATTGTGTTCAAAGTAATTACCATTCATTTGGCTTTTGAAGCTGTTGAATGAATTTTCCACATGAGATTCCTTAATTTGTACATATTTTATTGCTATGAAATAGGTATTGGCAAGCTGCCTAAACTGTAGCGAAGGCCTTTAATTCCTATCACTATGTGATAAAACAAATTGAGTGCAAACTGAGAGGCTTAAGATAGAACACTTGAAACGGATTCCACTCGTTTTTCTAAACCTAGTTTCCCCAGGTGTGAGACACAGGTAAGATTAAGGTAGCTTAGTTCAGGCTGAGAGTTCAGGATTGTTTTAGCATTTGTATAAAAATGATAATGTCCCTCCATAATGGCAAACCTCTCTCTTCCCATGATCTATTATTCCTCTGGGAAGCGCTGTGTGGAGAGAGAACACTGTTATTAACATATTTCATGCATAGCAAGAGAAATTCAGTATGCACCAAGCAGAGCTGGGGAATTCTTGGTTGCAGTAGAGACCTAGGCCAGATGTTCTGAGCCTTGGGGCCAGGGCTGTGTAGCTTTTGGAAGTCCTTCTACTTCTCTGAACCCAATTTGCTCACTGTAAGATAAAGGGTTGGGAGAAGTGGCTTGTAAATCTAATTACTAATTTGTTTACTGCTGTTGCTAGTATCTTGGTTTTGTTCAAGATCTTTCACTGAGATTTTCTTACCTGAGATTTTTAAAGCTGAATCTGTTTTTTTATGCCACGTTCTATAAACCACACCTGTGATGACAGAAGATTAAGTTGTAGAAAATCTGGTTGTTGAGTTAGATGACCTTCCAGGGCTTGCCCTTCCTAATCCAGAAGCTGCCAGGTTCCGGGGGGTCAACAGGCCTTCCTGGCTCCTTCAATCAGACACCCCCTCCTCCAACTCGAATCCTTCCCTCCACTCCAGGGCCTCCAGGGACCCATGTCCATCCTATGCATTTCCTGTCCTTGCAATGTCCTCCATTGTCCTCTCTTTTCCAAGATCGTATCCTTTTGCCCAGATTTAAGAAAATTATCTTGAGTTCCTTGGGGTCTTTTCCAGTGGTTACTATCCGTGGTGCACAAGACCTTCACCAAAACACAATATGGAGTATGCATAGTACTCCATATTGTGTTTCTTTAATGTTTAATAGGCTTTTCTCTTCTTGTACAATATATTCTATGTTACCTGAGAAAAGAGTTGACGGGATCTTTCTTTTTGGTTTCAATCATAGTAAGACGTGTTGCTGGTATTTAGCAGATAGTCACTGATTGATAGATCCAACATTAATTTTTTAATCATTCATTTATCAAATAATTAATTGGCATGTTTATTCACCCCAGCCCCACCCCAGGGATTGGCTGGTCTGGCCTCTTCCACGGAACATACCAGTTTTCTCTTCGATATTCTCTGCCCTGAAGTTTCATGAGCACAGGCACATGATCCCTCCACCAAATTACCTTGAAAATCAACACATGACCCTCCTTGAATGTTTCTTTTGGGTTTTCACTGTTGGGAGTGAATAAGAAGTAGATTGAAAGAAAGAAATTCAAGGTAATCACAAAATCACATCTGCAAGAGATGGAAGATTTTCTAGTCCAAGTCGTCCTTAATTTTTCTGCAAATGTGAGGGGGTGTTTTTTCTCATTTGCAGTCAGCAGAATCCACCCTGGCAATTTTGAGCAGGAAAAGGTTAAATAAAGAGTATTAGCTTACAGAGACACTGGCAGGTAAAGCCCTAAATGACCGAGTGGAGCTTCTTAGGAACACCTAGATCTGCACCATGGCCTGGTGGGAGCGCTTGCCAAGTTGGGCTCCTCACCCCCTTCTGCAAAGAGAAGGTGCCAACTTAGTAACCCAGGCTGCTGCTTCCAGCCCCTAGACCCATTCACTCCATGACCTTGAAGCTGCAGCTGAAGGTCTCTAAATGACCAAACGTGTCTACCATCCTAAAGACCCTAGGCTCTGCCTCTTGGTTACAAGGTGTGTGTCCTCCTGTGTCCTAGATGAACATCCACTTAGCAGGTCACGAATCCCATGACCTAACTGCAAAAGAATCTTGGAAAATCAGTTTTAGTTTCCTGTCTTTAGAGTTTGGGGGGGGCTTCTTGGGGTCAGAGTGGGTGTTGAGTAAACCAACCTGATGCATTGGCCACATTCAGTGATCTTTCTCATTTTTTTTTTTAATGGCAATCAACTTTTTCCTAACTGTATTTCCAGATCCAAGAACAACCTCCCTGGTAGATTTTCACAGAGATAATCTTTCCCTTCAATGCTCCTAAATGCCTGACCTCATATTCCAGGTAACAAGCCAGATACTACTTCCATCTTGACCAGGTCAGTACACAACCTGAAGGTCCTTGTGACTCTTCCTGGCATGTGTCTTCAGTGTCAGGCTTTCTGATTCTGTTCTCATAGAAGTTCATTGTTTATTTTATACTTGGCCTTGGTCATGAATTCTTGTCATTTGACGATGCTCCTTTGGGTCTCACCTGTGCCATTGCACTAATTATGTAGGTGTGCAAGAGATGTAAGATTGATAGAAAAATTTTGGGGGGAAATTTCAGTGAATTTGTACATCCTGCAGGATGATGAGGTTTTGATGATTCATTTGTTCTTCAGCAAATATGTTTTCCTTGACCCACCCTGAGCTGGAGGACAGTCATTTTATGTATTTAGTATGGGGGCTAAAACAGGGAATAATACAGAATAGTCCATGTCCTCACGGAGTTTCAGGAAGCATACGCAGAGCTATCACCACACATGGAATTGACTTGCATTTTCAAAGGCCCAAGATGGGAGGGAGGCTCTTGTGTTGGGGGGCTAGAAAATAACTTGGGTGGATGGAGGAAGTAGGGGACAGGAAGGAAAAAAAATGGAATTCTCAGATGCTTTCCTTTCAAACCAATGTACACTAGGACACCCAGAGAGGGAAAGCCATTTGTTAAGAGATTGACACTGCAGCAACAGCAGTATTTGGTGAGCTCAAGTTTGGTCCATTTCTGTAACAGTTCTGTAATTCCTCTTCCGTGTTTACCAGATATTAATCATCTTTAGCATTTTTCCCTGCTGCAGGTGTTTCTGATTAGACTGTGCCTTTAAAATATCCGTGTTCCCTCTGATCTCTTCCAATCTGGAACTTCATTCTAGCAAGTGTATGGCATTCACATGGCTTTACCTTAACCTGTTTTGGCTGCTGTAACAAAAACAGCACAGAGGGCAGCGCAGTTCATAACCGCCAAGATATGGAGCCAACTTAGGTGCCCATCAACAGGTGAGTGGATAAAGACAATGTGGTGTCTGCACACAATGGAGTTCTACTCAGTCCTAAAAAAGAACAAAATTATGTCCTTTGCTGGTAAATGAGTGGGACTGGAGGACAGAAATTCACGGGTTGAAAGTTTTCTTTTACACTTGGAAGTTAAAGAGAAATAAGGCGTAATAAAGAGGGGGCATCTCACGAAAATAGAAGGGAGAACAGCGGAGGAGAGGAGGAGGGCGGAGGGAAGGAGGGGACAGGGAAAGTAGAGGCGCTGAGGAGCGAACTTGACCAAATCATGCTACCTGCATGTATGAAGGTACCACAGTAAAGTCCACTTTTATATAAAGTACAGTGCACCAGGGGAGGAGGGCACGGGGAGGGAGAAGGGAAGGAGCGGGGATAGAAACAGAGCAAATTCCGTCCATGGTTGTGTATCGCACACCTATAGAAACACAAAGAACAAACGGAACAGCTTAAAAACAGTAGAAATTTATTTCTCCTGATTCTGAATGTGAAAATCCACGGTGGAGTTGAGGGCAGATTGGGTGCCAGGGGAGGGCTGGCTTCCTCCTCCACGGGAGTCCCCTAAGCGGTTGGTTTCTTTATCTACAGGAAGGGTCAAGGCTCTCACTCCACTCACTAGGGTTCTCCCTTCCTGACTTAATCCCCTCTCAAAGGCACCACTTCTTAGTGCCCTCACGAGGGGGGCTGAATCTGGGCCTTTTTGATACAAAGTCAAACGATAGCATCACCACTGAGTATTGTCACCTTAAATCCACTTTCCTAAACCTAGATATGGGCTTCTAGAGGTGCAGGAACTCAGGAAAGTTCTCCTTTCCTAGTAAAATAGCATGCACCAGTTGCTGTTTTCTGTAAAACACACTCCTTCTGTCATGTCAGGTTGCTGGAGCAATTTTTCCTGACATGCACCCCAAATCTGATGACATTAACTCAGACATGGGGCAATGCAATGAAACTCCGATGTAGGGTCTTGTTTTGTGGTGACATTAATGAACACATGTCATAAGTAATGAAATCAGTCAAGAGATGTAAAAAATGATTTCAACAGCAAATCCACATATGGCCAATTTCACTTTTAAAATATGATAGTTCACTTTCCACATGTTGTGATTTTTTGACCTATTTCTTGGTAGATAACGTGATCGAGTCTATTGTAAAGAGACAACCATCAATGGTATTTTAGCAATATTTCATGGCTAAATGAAGAAATCGAGTGATCTTGAGCGACTGCTTCCTGTCTATTTGCCGCTGCAGGTAGGGTCTGCGTGGTAAATGGCTGTCTTGGATTTGGAGGTGTTTGTCGTTCTGCACCCCCCCCCCCATGGAAAATCCTGTGACATTCATCTTACTTCCATCCAGTGAAGAGGTAGGTGCTCCGCTCAGAGGGCCTTCATCTGTCCTTGTCCTGGTGCTTATTAAAATTTATCTCCAAGGAGAATGAACTAGAAGGGGAAATAACTATGAAATCACAACTGGTTGACATGGAAATCATTTGTGATGGCCACAATTGCCACCAGGACTCAGGGATGGTGTGACAGGAGGAGGTGGGAGAGAAGGAGGGTGCCAAGGTTCGCATGTATTCAGCGTGTCAGCGTCTCGCTCCTTTATTCCCCCCACAGGCAGTAAAAGAAATTCAAGTGTCTGGGGGTGCAGTTATTAGGAAGCCACTGTACCATGCAAAGTCAAGCCATTACTAAATCTCAGCAGTTAGGTCTACTCTGTAGGAATTTGGTTGTTAAACACCACACACACAGTAATAATCGAGGTGCAGAGAAGCTGTCTCTTTAACCAAATACCTTAGAAAGGAAGCCAGCTCTTCAAGGTCATGCTGACCTGTCAATCATGACAGAGCTCCAGCCATGGGCCCTGTAAACTGCTGGTCATAGCAGAACAAAATGTTCCCAGATCATATCCTACAGCATCTAAATGGAATCCAGCACTTAGACACTGAGGTGACAAGTGTCTTGGGCCGTATTCCCACTGCAAATGACTCAAGGCTAACTACTGATGTGGGGTTTGTTACTGCAATTGTAAATAACAAGGTAACAGGGATGTCCGTTGGGCTCACCATTTTAACTTTCGTGATTGAACTTTTGTTCTGCAAAACCTTAAGCATTCTCACAGGTGGGAAGAATAGCAAAAAGCCACAGGTAAGAAGGTATGGAACAACGGGCGTCCTGAACTCGGTAGGAGCTACTTGGAGTCAGAGATGAACCTGAATTGTAGGAACACTTTTAAAGTAGAACAATGACCACGCACCTGTTGGAATGGCTGAATTCCCCAACACTGACAACACTTCATACTGGGGAGGACGTGGGACAGTGGGGACCCTCGCGCATAATGGTACATAATGGTACGGCCACTCTGGAGGACAGTTTGGAAGTTCCTTATAAAACTGAGCACACACCTGCCATGTGACTTGGTGATCTTGGCTGTCCTGCTGGTTATCTCTAATGGAAATGACCCAGCATTCTGGCTCCTTGGTATCTACCCAAAGGAGTCGAAAACTTACGTCCATACAGACACCTACACACGGGTGTCCATAACAGCTTTACTCATAGTTGCTAAAACTCGGAACCAACGGAGATGTCCTTTGGTGGGTGGATGCAGCCACTGTGGCATATCCAGACCAGATTATTTAATTCAGTGCAAAAAAGAAAGGTGCTGTAAAGCCATGAAAGATCTGGGGAACTTAAATACCTGTTACTAAGTGAAAAGAAGCGTGTCTGTAAAGGCAGCTTACTGTACGGATCCAACCGCAGGACATTCTAGAAAAGGCAAAACCACGGAGACGGTAAGAAGATGAGGCATTGCCTGGGTCGGGGGAGGGAGGGACACAGGCAGAGCACAGAGAAAGTTCAGGAAAGGGAAACACTGGTTATGGTGCGACCATGGTGGAAACGTGCTGCTGTGCATCGATCGGAACTTAACTAGAATGTACAACACCAAGGACGAGCCCTGGAGCAAACTGGACTCACGTAGTAATGATGAGCTGGCGCGGGAGCCTCCATTACGGCAAATGTGCCACTCGGGTTGGGGACTTTGACATTGGAGAGACAGCAGTTGTGGATGCAGATGATACAATGGAAACTGTACTTTCTGCTGCCCAATTTTGCTGTTAAATAAAAGGTAAAGTCTTGCTTAAAACCAAAAAAAAAAAACAAAAGGCAGAGCCAGTTGGAATCTGCGGCGGCCTGGGCAGGAGTGTGAGGGGCAAGGCCGAGGCGTGGGCTTGAGCTGCGGGTGAGGCCTCCTTCTCTGCTGCTTGTCGACGTATCTTCTTTCTGTTATACAACCACAGACACTTTCGCAAATACCAGAAAATTACTGATAATTATCTTAATAGGTGAGCCCCTCCGAAGTACAGGCTTGATCATAAATCACAGAGCAAATGGAGGGGAAGACAAGTACCCTTTAGCTTGTGAGTTCCAGGTCACTGGGTTAGGCCTTGGGAGACCTGGGCCCTGGAAGCATGTCCCCTGGTTAAGGCCACTGGTGCCTGGGCTGGAGCAAGCACACGAATGGAGCTGGGGTTTGACGGTGTTCCAACAGGGATAGTCCTGCATCCTGGGACTGGGTCCTGGGCCGGCTGCTCTTCCTTTGGGGGGCAGTCTCGGGTCACTGAGACTGGTTCTGAGGGCTTAGCACGTGAACTTTGTTCAAGTGCAGAGAGTACCGGCCACATCCCCTGTCCTCCCTGACCTTGGCCTCCTCACCTGCGAAATGGCTTTGGTAGTGGCTGTCCTCCCCACCACAGAGCCCTTCTCAGAGCATGTGGAAGAAGAGGGTTGAAAGTCCCCCGAGCACGGCAGGGGACATTGTCACTGGTTGACTCAGTCCCTGAGAACCCAGAGCTCTGCTTCTGGTTCAGACTATGTTCGTATTTGGCTGAAGATGACCTATGTGTCCAGGCCTCTTTCTCATCTGTTCACGGAGATACATGGACAAGAGACCCCCACCCCTGTTGGTCTAGCACAGATGGTGTCATGAGCCAAACCACACAGGAAGCCTGCTGTTTCTCGCTCAGTGCTTGGTACCCAGTTCTCTCCAAGCGGCTAGTCTAAGCTTTCTCCCTCCTCAGTAGAATACACAGATACACACATCCTCTTCTTTCTGTTTAGAGAATCTTGGTGAAGACACTGTACAATGTAGGACTAAGGGATCTTTATTTCCACCAGCAGTGAAATCAATTGCCAGGCCCTCTCCAGGGTTTGGGGAGCACTGTCCCCAATATCACCATCACCCCTGTGCTGCCAACTGACCTGTGTGCTTCAGGTCTTCCCAGCTAATGCTGCGTAATGCTGCAGCCCCTCTGAACACTGAAGAGAGGCATGACCTGGTGGCCCCCTGCGGCAGGAAACCTCCTGTCCCCTGTCCAGCTCCACTGCATGGAGATGGTGGCATGTTTCTCATACTGTCTCTAGAGTGACCAAGCAGAGTGTGAGATCTGAGTCCCTGACAAGCTCCCTGGTGAGCCCCAGGTTTCTGGTCCATGGAACCCAACTCTGGGGGTCAGATGAACTTGAGCTGGACCCCTGGCTTTGGCCCTGGCTGACTCTGGATTATGGGGATGCCATGGGGCCTGAATGAGCCTGTTTTCTTATTTACAAATTGGGGGTCATAAGGCCTGGCTTGTAAGAGTGCCATGTGAGTCTGTGACATCGTGCCGTGGAGAGCCCGGTCCAGGACTGGTGCACAGCTGTCCCTCAGTACCTGTTCCTCTTCTCCTTCTTCCTGCTCCTCTGTGGAGATGCCCTCCCAGGGGATCATGGCAGAGGTTAGTCTGCAGATATGCAAAGGCTTTCGGGCTCCCTCCCCAGGTCTGAGCCTGTGCTCTTCCTGTTCCCAGTTCCTGGATGCGTGAGGTTAGACTTTGCCCATCCCACATGGGTTTTGTTGGCCCACAGTCATTTCTGCTTTGGAGATGTTTTATCATCCCCTGCCCAGTCCAAGCTGACCTTTGATATATAACTGCTTGAAAAATGAGCATTCTTAGGGAATCATTCCCCACAAAGGGCAGCTCCACTGCACTCCCCAGTGAGGTGGGGGCTGGGGTCCCAGAGAGTGACTTGGCCTCATCTTCCGACGGTGCACTTTTCTCCTGGGGAGAAAGGTCCTGGAATGCAATTTATTGTAAAACACACAGCGGTTACAGAGCGGCCACACTCAATGATACTCCCTTTATTACCACTCAGATGAGAATAGAAAATGACATTGGAAAGCACTGAACTCACCAGAAGGGCAGAGAAAGTCATTAAATCCAACATGCATCATATTTCATAATCAGAACCCTGCAGTCAGCGCTGACACCAGCGGATGAGCTTGTTGCAGTCATGATAATGTAAAACCCACCGCATCTGCTTGCCTGGGCTCTTGCTTTTAGGATCCTCGCTGGGGCCAGGCCATTAATCACTGGAGGCCGGGGAAGGTGCAGACCACTGCGCTCTCAATGGCGTAAATTGAAAATACATCAGTGTTAGTGGGGAACACTGTCATTCGCTTGTCTCCGGTTGGGGGCAGTGGCTTTTGAAGGGGTGGGGGTTGTTCCAGTTAAATCACCTAATGAGAGCACTGTCATCACTGTCAGCTCGAGGGGGGTGCCACCCCTCATGGCCTATGTAGGGAGTGGAGCCTGTGCCTAGAACTTGCAGGGACATAGACGGAGTCTGCAGGTCAACCTCGGTGATGGTTTAGAATTGAGGGTCCCCCCAAAAGCTCATGGGTGTGACAATGCAAGACAATTTAGAGGTGAAACAATTGGGTTGTGAGAGTTTTGGCCTAATCGGTGCATTAATCTGCTGATGGGTATTAACTGGGTGGTACCTGTAGGCAGTAGGATATGGCCCGAAGAACTGAGCCACTGGGGTGTGCAATTGGGGTTTATATTTTGTTCAGTGGGGAGGGGATATCTCGATCTGCTTCTTGGTGCCATGTCCTGAGTTGCTTTCCTCCACCTCACCCTTCTGCCATGACAGTCTGTCCCCGCTCGGTCCCCAAGGAATGGAGTTGACTATCCATGGACTGAGATGTCTATAACCGTGAGCCCCCCAAATAAACTTTTCCTCTTCTAATTGTTCCCATCAGGTCTTTTGGTCCCAGCAGCAGCAGAAAGCTAACTAAATCAACCTCAGGGAGGCTGATAACCATTCCCTCCACCTGGCCTGGGCCACCACAGGTGCATGGCAGGTAGGTGCCGGGCTTGTCTTAGAATCTGATTTTTATTTTTGGACTCTGCAATACACTCTATGCATTTGTTTGATTTCTAAAATAGCATTTCGAAAATGCTTTATGTCACCTAATATTAATAATTTAGGGAAAAGTGGAAAGAGCATCTTGAAGCTTCCTACGCCCCGGGCACACTGACCATGGCACTGGGTATGCACTTAAGAAGTCCATGCCTGAAGAATAAAGTCCTCCACTAAACTCCTCCTACAGAGCCTTCCTGGTCACCCCCTTCCTGGATCTTGTGCCTCAGCACACAAACCCGGTCATCTCCACTGCCACCCTGCTGAACTCTGAGCGCCCGCCTCTCCCTCCTCTAGCCTCTTTTAACCTTTCAAGGAAACCTGCCCGTTTCTTCCTGCTCCCGTGGAGCATGTCCTCCTGTATTTGCAATTGTTGGTTTATCCCTTTCTCCTTGACTTTGAGGTCACCTGGTTTTTAAATGGCAGGGTCAGGATTCAAAGCCAAGTAATCCTCAGCCCTCAAATAGGGCCACGGCTTAGAATTCACGAGGTACTTTAAGCGCTGGGGAAGATGCCAGCCAGGAGGCCATTGATAAAACCACTCAGCCCGAGATGAAAACCGCTGTCGCCAGAATCAGATCATTATGGAAAGAGTAACAAGTGGGACAACTGTGACAGAACATCCGGATTAGCCAAATAAAAGTCAGGATCTAGAAGAAGACACTAGACCCCCCAAAATAATAGAAAAATAATGCCAGGCGTTGGGCATGGGAGGCGGAAGATACAACTGCAACCCGCTGGGGAAGGACTCCCAGACAGGGGGAAGGACAGGGCCATGGTGATTTGGAGAGAGAATATTCTCAGGCCAGAGAAAAAGTGCTTTCTGAGCTTCAGGGAGAACAGAGAAGCAGGAGTGTCACCAAGATACCGCTTTTAAACTCACTCCCTTTAACTCAAAAAAGCGAGTCCAGCATATTTAACTTGCGAGGGTGGACTGGAGCCGGGGTGAGACAGAACCCTTGACTCTGTTTTCATCAGCTGTGAGGGCTGTCAGGTCACCTGTCCCTGTGCTCGGAGGACGTCTTGGGCAAAGCCAATAACTTCTTTCATCATTTTTGATTTCTGAACATCCAGTCCTCTCTAAAACCTCAACCTGAAAATGGGTTTGACCCTACTGCTTAATTTGCAATTCTCTCTTCAGTGCCTTGACCAGCTCAGAGTGGACAGAAGCCACCTGGCTGTTCTCCTTTCATGATCCAGGTCCTCGGGTGGGTGGAGGGAAGCAAAGGGGGGGAAGGAAATAGTGGCCAGGTCTCAGCGGCTTCCCGGGTCTCCCCTCGGCCGTTTCTGGTTCCATTGACCACTGTAGATGCAGTCCGAGGTTTCCACAAGGCCAAGGTTAGCTGCATTTCAGCAACCCTTCACCACAGCCTTCCAAGTGGACATCTTCTTTGCCTTCTGATGACCTGGCCATCCCATCTCTTGAGAAGTAAGGTTAAAAGTGCGTTGGGTGCTCCTACTGCTTCTCGTTCCCTTCTCTGGCCTTTGGGGTCCTTTGGGAGGAGCTGCAGGAACGAGAATGGTCCTCTGAATCCCCCAGAGAATGGGCTTCCTGGGCATGGGTGGCTCACGCCGCCCTCCTGTCCCTGGCACACGACCCATTTTCCTCTGTCCTTCAGCTGCATGGAGCCTCCCACTATGAGAAATCCAGGGGACAGGCACATCGTGGGTTCACACAGGCCCCCAGACTGCATGGACACATGACAGACCCCCCAAACTCCCCTTTGTTCTGAGGAGAACCCCTGGGTGACCCGGTGTTCTTGAGCTCACCACTCCCAGCCAGAACACCCAGGTGCCTCTGCTGGAGGTCTGGTCCCAATGTGGTGGAAAATTTAAAAGAAGTTGGGCCTCATGGGAGGTAATTAGGGAGGCCAATAGGTCATGTGGGCTCCACCTTCAGGAATGGCCCTGCTGTCCCCTGGGAGTAGGTTAGGTCTGGTGGCACTGTGTCAGTTCCCAAGAGGACAGGTTGATATACCCAGCCTGACAGCCTCCTGAATCCCTCTTCCACTGTGATGCCCTCCTCAGAGGCCCTTCCCAGAGCCAAACACAGGCCAGCATGCTCTGATTCTCTAGAACTGGGAGCTAAATAAACCTCTTGCCTCTGTAAAGTACCCAGCCTCTGGAATTTCTTACAGAATGGACAACAGACTAAGACAGAGGCCAAGATCTGATCCTGGCAGGCACCCAGAAATGCAGGGAGTTTGCCTACTGGAGTCCCCTGTGGTCCCAGCAACCTTCTCTCTCCTCCCCCAGTGTCCTCCCCTTCAGACTTGGACACGAGTGGATTCTGAGACAGGTGAGGCAGAAGGCGGTGTTTGGGTGTGGTGCTCTTCAGCATAGGAGAATGCTGAGGGCATTCTGACTGACTTCAATCTTGAGCCCAAGGCACTCATTCCAGAGCAACAGAAAAAAAATATTACTCTTCATTATAATGATAAAACATTAACTAGTACATCAGGGTAGAACACACCCTGGCAATTTCTAGAAATATAAGATCACTCCCCATATGCATTCTGCTCGTTCACAAATGGCCTCAAAAGCTCTTTTCCAGAGCAACTTTCCCACTTTGCTCCCACATGCACAAGAAGAATCGAGACCCTCTTGTGTCAAGGTGGGACCATGTGACCAAATCCATGCTAATGAACTGTGGGCTCAGGAGATGGCAGCCGCCTCAGCAGGCCATGAAAAGCCTCGTGCCATCCATATTCCTATTCCCTATCTACACAGGCTCTAAGGCACAGGGAAGGGACCAGGGCCCTGAATTCATGTCTTTAAAGAGCCACCTGATCTGTGGTCTCGACATTGTTTACTCGTCCTCTATGGGTAGACTCTGGAATTACTACCAATTCTTGAGGGGTCCACACAATTATACAAAGAACACCTGTGTGTATACAAGAGCATAGTTATGACTACAGGAAGAACTGCTGGGCCAAAAGTTATATATAAATTTGCTTTGATAAAGTCAAAATCCATCCCTCCAAAATTATCCTTTAAAATTTCTACTTATGACATATGGCAGCACCTGATTTATCATACTGATTCCATATTTCCTTTCCTTCCATATTTTCCTTTCCAGCTTACACAGGGATCTCCAGAGGGCAATGGAACAGAGAGTCTGAGCCTATTTTGGGTGGACCAGGGGGAGTAAAATGGAAGTGGGGCTCATACAGGGCTCCGTCAAGGGATGAACTGGGAAATGCGGGTGCCATCTCCCCTCTGGGTGTCATCAGCCATTGGAGCAGTTGACCACTTCACCCTCAGAGCACCCAAGTGTTTCCACCATTGTATCTCAACTTCTTATCTGAGTTAGTTTTGCTGTCTGTAAATATATAGATATATATGTGGCTATTTCTCTCTCTCTCTGCCCCCCCTTCTTATTGATTTTCTCTGGAAGACCCTAATACACAACAAGTTCATATATTGAGACCAACAATGGTTTGCTCATATCCTTAAAATAATCCTGTGAAGATTTATTTGTTCATTGTTCTCAGTGAAAAAAGTACAGGTCACCCTTCTACTTTCTCAATTCCGACTTAACAAAACCCGCCGGCTCTCTAGAATGTATGTGGCATTGATCTTGACCTGGGGTGGTCAAGGAGGTGGGGGTGGGGAACAAAGGAAAGGGAGGATAAAGATGAAATAAGCAAAAATCCCTCTTCTCAAAGAGCTAGGGAAACCCGGCCATGTTTTCAATCCCTCTATGGTAGATTGTATTTTTCTAAAAATAGCAGCAGCAATATTTCCCTCCCTACCCTTTCTTGCCACTTTTTCAACAAAAAGTGGAATCTAATTTCCCCTCCTTTAAATCTGTGCTGGCCTTGACCAGGGGAATGTGCTGATGTGACATTCTGGGACATCCGAGCAGAGGTCCCAAGAAGCCTTGCAGATCTCCCTGGGTGGCTTGGAGAGCTTGTTCCCAGGGTGTTATCCATGGGAACCCAGCTGTACCTCTGTGGGGACTGCAGCCACACAGAGAGGCCACAAGCTGGCACAGTGACCAATAGCCCTGTTGAGCTCCCAGCCAGTGGGGGTCTCATCCACGTGAGTGTGCCATCTTGGATGTCTGCCCAGGTTACGTTTCAGTGGCCTACAGCCCACAGGAGAGGACAAGCGAGAATCCAATCAGCCCACAGAGTCATGATGATATGAATAATTCACTTTAAGTCCTTGTATTTTAGGGCGACTTTTTAGGTTTTTCGACAGTGATTGAGATCAGAGCAACATATAAATAAAGCAGAATATGGCAAGTGTATGGTGATTTTGAATGTCATGTGGCTTTAATTAGCACAGAGCCCGCACTCCTGGGAGTCAGGGCTGGAGTCAGCTCCTGTCATAGTTCAACAAGCGGAACCTGCCCAAGGGGTAAATGGTCAAGTTCAAAGAAACAAGCAAGGGCCGCAGGGGGGAACAGGCTCAGGGCCACCTGGGGAACTCCCGTGGGGAGCTCTTCACACTGACCCACACTGAGGGAGGAGCCCACAGCAGCCATCCGTCCACGGGGTTCAGCCCACATCTCCTTCAGCCCTTTGGCCAGTCAGTGGCCTCTCGCCATAGCCCGCATCTGTCCCTTCTGATCTCTCTCTTCGTCTCAGTTCAGTTCTCCATCCCTTCTGGGTGGGAAATGGTGGTAGCACTCACATCTGGCTGCCCAATTTCCATCTGCATTTCTCCCAACCCAATTTTCAGCTCACCAGGCAGCCAGAGCAGCGGCTCTAAAATGTGAATCCAGTCACATTCCCTTCCCAGTGATGTTTGTCAAAGGTCCCCTCACGAGAAAGCTTTCGAACCTTCTCAGGGCTCAGGAGCAGCGCCTGGTGGGCCATCTTCCTCCCGCCCCCTCCTCCCCACTGCCGCCCAGCCGGCTCCAGTGCTCTCCTTCACCCACATTTCTCTTCTCAGAATCCCGCCCCCTTCTTCTCATTCTCTTCCAGTCCTTCCTCAAAACTCCTGCCAATCATTACTGTCCTGAAAACACTGTCATTTATGTTTATTTTCAAAATGAACACCTTTACTTTCTGGAATGTTTTTCCCCCTTTTAAGATGAAGCGAAGCAAGAAAGCAATTAATTCTGTAACTGAATTCAGAAAGGATCCCTCAGTTCATCTGGAACACAAATGTAAAGAGATATGGTTGGGATGCACTTGAGTGAAGCCTATTTGCAATTCTGATGTGAAGAACATCGTATTCCTTCCACATGAGCACGAGGCTTTGGTGAAGATTTCTGCTTCGCTGTTTATAAAAGCACCCGCACTTCTGGTGTAATTTGGTGAGGAGTCACTATGAAAGAAACAGCTTAGTAAGAAAATTCAACACCCATCAGCAATCCCTCAGAGTTCCAGAATTTAAACTAAAGTTAATTGGATTTGTTCACAGATCTAAGACTTAGTCCACAATCGTGTTTCCCAAAGGGGACTCCATGGAAGTCTGGTTCTAAGAGAAATAAGTGTCGTGTGAGAGTGTCCTGTGATGTGAATTAATGAACCGCAGAGGTAAGCAAGATCAAATGATTCTCGATCCTCGCAGGAAACCTCAGTGGCTTCCCTCTGCCAATGTGTGATGCTGCTCCCCGTAGGGGAGGGTGGCCTGAGTACCCAGGCTCACTGACCACAGCTGTCCTCCGTGAGAGATCATCTCGCACCCCTCGGGTCTGTGGCCTGATCTCCGGAAGAGCGTATTGTCCGGTGAGATGGCAGGATGGCTCAGTTGCCCGTGGAGAGCCCCTCAGCCTTAAGGAAAAGTAGACTGACCTTCCTGAAGAAGGAAACGCGTACTACCCCACTGCTCTATGCCACAAACAGCTTTGTTCCCCCGGACCCCCTGCCCCAGGACCCCCTGCCCCCCGACCCCCCGGGAGCCACAGTGGCTGAGATCCTGTCAGGTAGCCTGATGGAAGTGACTATGCACCTCTCCGGGCGCCGGTGGGGACACACGACCTCGGGATGTGCCTGACAGGGAGGTGCTCAGGCTCTCTTGCTCTCCTTTGCCAGATTTTGGCAGGAGGAGTGGGTAGAGAAAGCAGGATGAATGTTGTGTAGATGCTTAGTGCAGGGGTGTGGTGTAGTTGGTGGCCCGAGACTGGAGATGTGGGCAGAGGGCTGGCTGGACGCTCACGCGCGCGCGCACACACACACACACACACACACACACACACACAAACCTCTGAAATGTCTGGCCTCAATACTCTGGCTGATTAGAAAGTTCTGGAAAGTTCTGAGGCCAAACACTCAGGGTAAAATTTTAAAACAGAAGGAAGAATTTCTCCTTAACCCTCCCCTCAACTCAGCCTATAAAATAGGCATTTTTAAGGAGGAAAAACCCCATATGCGATCATACTGCACAGTATGTATGTGCACTTTTTCTTGTCTCAGATACCAACAAACAAAAAGCCCTGGGAGGCTTGGGGGGTTTGCCTTGGACTGACTTTGGAATGTGCATCTATGAGCAGGGGTGGCGGGGGGTTGGGGCGGGGGAGCCGCTGGGCACACTTTGGGGACTAATGTCCAAGCTGAGGAACCTGGTGGTGCCGGTAAGTGGGGGCTCTGACTGGGTTCTGCAGCTGCTTATGTCCACACTGTGAAGCCCACTCAGATGCCCCAGTGGCGTGGCACACACGCAGGAGGCGGGCTTACACACCCGTCCCTGTTGCTCTGGGAGGTCACCTTGGTCGGGGAAGTGCTGCAGGCAAGGGCTCAGCCCCACCAGGAAAGACCTTCACTTGGGGGACTTTGCATGCCTGTTGAGGACACCTCCTTATATTCAGATGGTGTCTTGCAATTTTCCAGGTACTCCAACGTGTCATTATCTCATTTCCTTTTGACCGCAGCACCATGTGTAAGTAAGCCACCAGGATGCATGATTACATCCATTACAGGACTCTCAGGGACAGAAGGGCCTTCACAATCACTCCTTTGCTAATTCAACAAACATTTATTGATGGTCGTAATAGGAGTGAGACCCACACCAGGCTCTTGGCCCTTCACAGCCTGGAAGTCCCTGGAAGGTATGCATGCATTTACAGAACCGAGGCAGGATACAGACACATACGCAGATAAGCCACAGTTCTCACGTGGTAACAAGGAATAAAATGGTGTAATGGCTGGAAAAGAAGAGGGGAGGTGGTGGCAACTTCAGAGGGGTGGGTCAGAAAAGATCTTTCTAAAGGGCATGGAGAACTAAAGAATGAGCAGGAACTACCTTGTGGTAGATGTTCACTGAGGGAGCGGCACAGCAAGGGGCACCCTTTTCAGAGGAGGGCTTGTGTTTGTGCAGATGACTCACCTGGTGGTGGCAGTAGGAGCCATGGCAGGAAGTGTCAGAATGTGAGTATCCTTTGAAGGCACTTGGGAGGAGACTTACTGAGGCAGGGTGTGAGACAGTGGTGTGAAAGCTGGTGTCAGGGTCTCCAGCCTGCACACCTGAGGACTGTGGCCACCTACTGAAATGTGGAAAGTGAGGATGTTGGCTGATTAGTCAGAGACCTCAGTGGAGACGTTGAACAGGGAGCTACACAGGACTGGGAGTCAGGGGCAGGTCCAGGAGGCAAATGGGAGTTCTTCATCAGTATGCAGACAGCGTGGAGAAGGACAGAGGTCAGGGACAGAGCCCCGGGGTCCTCCAGTGTCTAGAGTTGCAAATGGAAGAGGTATTTAAGGGGGTGGAGTGGGAAAATGCCGACAGTCCAGCTAGAAAAAGACTGGGCTTTGGTCCAGTTTCGCCACATGGAGGTCGGGGACGTTGCAGAGCAGAGGAGCATCTCTGGGGTGAGGGAAGAGGGCTAGGATGGGGGTGGGCTTAGGGACGAGGAGATGAGAGGCTGTGAGCAGGTTCCACCCCTTCAGGGTTTTGCTGTTAGAAGAACCTTGATACACTTGCTCCTCCCACAGCGGTCAGGTCCCCTCTTGGCCAGATCTTGGGAGGCAGGAAGTCTGGGATGACTGCTCTATGCGACACTGGCCGGCCGAAGGAGGACCCTGGGTAGGCGAGGGTGCCGTCGGCCTCCGTGGGCTTCACGTTGGTGCCTTTCTCTTTTTCTAGAACCTACTTTTCCTGGAACTGTGCTTCCTCCTGGGGAATCGTCAGGGTCCTTTTGAGCTCTGTCATTTCTGAGTCTAAGGACAAGCCACTGCTAGAGTCTTCCGTGAGGAACTAAGTGTCCCTTCCACCATCAGGGATGCTCTCCTCCCTGAGAGAGGACCCCGGGTAGAGACTGGAAGGAGACAGGGTCAGGAGAAGGTGCCGGAGTGTGGAGTGTTTGGAGCAGAGGGAGCAGGAGTGGGAGAGGCCTGGTGGGAGGAGAGAGCTGCAGGACTCAAGGAAGGGCAAGGCGGCCGGGGGCTGCCTGAGGGGAGGGGGAGAGGGAGGCCAGGGGAAGGGAGCCGTGGAAGTCAAGGGCAGAGGGAGGTGGAGCAGGGAGGAACGCAGGCGGGGGATCACCTGCCAACCAGCCTGACTTAACTTCACTTTGTGTGTGCTTTTGTTTTCTCTCAGGGGTAAATTTTATTTTATTTTACTTCTATATGCTTCCTAATAAGTTGACTGTCATTATGGTGCGGTGTTTACAGAGCACAGTGTGTTCATGCAGGACACGTGTCCAGTGTGCAGTGTCCAGTCAGGCTCATCAGCCTTTTCCTTCCTACAATGTTTGTGAGTCCTGGTGTCAGGAGGCACCCAGCTCTGTGCTGCTCCTCCTTCGTCCAGCAGAGTAAATCGTCCTGGACGCGCTCACCCGAGGAGCTCCTAGAACATGGAACTCGGTCCTCCTGCCTGACTGCAGTCTCATACCGTCCACCAACCCTCCTGTTTCCTCTCCCCTTCTTTTCAAGATTATGTATGTTGTCTTTATTGTCTGAGGTCTAATCTGTTGTGATGCTTTCAATTGAACTTTTAATTTGGTTTATTGTTTCTTTTATTTCAAGGATTTCTGGGTTTTTTTAGAACCTCTATCTCCCTATTGAAGTAAGCTTTTGCTTCCTGTATTTGCTTATGTAGCTCTTTGTCAGAATGGTCTTTTGCCGCCTGTATTTGCTCTTACATCATCCTTTAGTTCACAGAACATCTTAATCATGCACAACCTGAACTCCTTCTCTGGCATTCTTCTGCTGTGTTGGCCATGGATTCTAATATCGGGGTACTTTCTTCCCTTGTCTTTTCATATTGCTTGTGAGTCTTCCCTTCTAGCACTGCGGATCCCAGGTGTTACCTGTTTTACCCTATAGGCTTATAGTGTCCCTGTAGGGTTCTGATACCTCTCCTTTGAGGCGAAGGACAATGTTAACAGATCCCAATATAAACAATATACACCCAAAAAGAAATGTTTGCTAACAAGATGTTTATAGTTTGGTCACAATGTCCAGAAATGGTGAGTTCAATTATTATCTATAATATACTCAGAAGGATTGTAAAAGGGCTTACAGTTTCTGATGGTGGACAAAGAGCCAGGGTTGAGGAGTGGGATGGTCTGCTGAGGAGGTAGGAGGTGAGGAGACAGAGTTGTCACACCTTAGGAAGTGTGAAAGAGAAATCTAAAGAGGAGGATTAGTAGCAGGAGGAAGGAGAGGAAGTACCTTTGGGTAGATAAGTAAGTGGGAAGACAGTAGAGTACATAAAACACACACACATATACATCAAGAAAAAATTTTAAAAAATGTTAGAATAGCAAAAATTGTTAAGAAAAAAGAAAAAGAAAAAATTTAAAAAATAAAAAAAGAACCAAAAGAATGTACAACACGCGATGTGATGTACTATTCAGAACGTCCCCGACCTCAAAATCCTAATTCATGCAAAGTACTTGGTTCACATATGTTGGGGATAAGAGGGTGGGGGAAAGGAGAGGGGGAGAGAGGGAGGGAGGGAGGGAGGGAAGGAGAGAGGGGGAGAGAGAGAGAGAGAGAGCGAGAACAAATCTTGAAGGAAGTCACAGGCTCATTTTGGTTGGAGATCAGCATCTTTCCTGCTTCCCTTCTCACCCAATAGGTGGAGTGTCTGTTGTTAGCTGGTATCTCTGCCCTCAGGATGATGGAGGTACCCAGGGTGTCACTGTGCTGGGTTTGCGCCCGCTGGGGAGAGCGGGGAGTTAGAAACTGGGTACCCAGAGATGGTGATGAGGGTGACCCAAGATGGAGGCTCCTGCTTCAGCAGTGGGTGTCAGGTTGGGTGGGGGGAGCCTGGCGATGGGGTTGGATGGTGAGCTCAGCGTGAGCTCTGTAGCTTGCAGTGTCGGCCGACTTCATAGCCTGTGTGAAGTTCCCGGATGTACACAGGCTACTGCGCATAGGGGACTGAGTCCACTGCTGCAGGGTCCCAAGATGGCAGCAACCGGGGAGCCCTATGTGGGTAGATGGGGGGCCACACTGGGGTGACGGCCGGAGTTCCTACTCGTGGGAAGCTGCTGGGTGTCCTCTGTGGGAGCGGCATCCGTGATTTCTCCTTGGGTGGGTGGCCGAAAGTTCTGTGCAGGTGCTGCCGCCGCCATTGGTCTCGCTCAGGAACCCGGTAGTCCTGTGTGGGCCAGTAGTTGGGAGACCTGCCGTGACGCTGAGGTCTGGGGCCCTGGACAGGCAGAGTGCTTCTTGTTCCAGGGGGGTTGGGGGGTTGGGGTGAGAGGGGCGCAGGAATATCGCTGGCTGAGAAGCCGTATCCTCACAACTTGTTTCCCAGGTCATGGTGACGAAGAACGCTGCCCCCCCTCTGTCCCGCCATCTTGGTTCCCCCTACTTCCTCCTGTAGGCTTATAGTGTCCCTGTAGGGTTCCAATACCTAAGGAAACAGGCTCAAAAAGGGCACAAGTAAACTACTGCCATCGTCCAAGCCCAAGAGATAAAGTGAAGGGACTCATCCCAAGTGTCCAGTAGGGACCTGTGGTGACTGGTCCCCAAGGATGGCCCCTGTGACACACACCTCCTGGGAGTCACTGACCGCGTCATCCCTCCCACACTGACCCCGTCATCCCTCCCGCACTGACCCCACACTGGCCCTGCTCATGTTTTCACCAGTGGAAGGCTTTGCGTGCGGCACTCTGACCTCTGAGCCACCAGCCTCCATCTCTGCAATACTGGGCAGCTCTGAGCCACGGAGGTCAAGCTCCGAGTGAAAGGGGCCCCCAGGAGAGATGCCATGGAGAGAGGATGCCCTCCTAGTGGCCTCCCATGGATTCCAGGCCCAGCAACCATCCCACTGCACACACATGGGAGACTACAAGTCAGACCAGCAGAAAACCTCCCAGACAACCACACAACCAAAAATTAACGGGCGACTGTGGTAGTGGTCGTGGTTACTTTAACCATGAGGCTGTGGGGTAGTTTGTTTGCAGAAACAGGCTACTGAAACGGAAATGTAAACACATCACATCAAATAATTGACTTTATTAATATCACTAATAAATTGGTGTGGCCAGAATCACATGCAATCATCCAGAGGCCCCTTAGTTCCTGATAATGCAACTGAGATTTGCAGTGCTTTTACTAGGTAATTTTCCCAGATCTGTGATTCCAGAATGACTATAAACATTATTTGCCCCTTATGCATTGTTTAAAAAACTGGTTCTACTAACATGATTTATGGGCAAACTTCCTTTTTCATCGCGGATACCATATTTCCTGCCGTATGCTTGGTGTTCATTAAACAGATGCTCTGCTCTATATAGAGGGCGAGCAGAGCCAGACTCCAGGGCTGTCTTAAAGGGGCTTGTTATGCTTTGATTTACTGTCTTGAAACCACGGGCGCTTGGACACTGGTCTTATAATGCTCTCAGTGGGGGGATGGCACATTGAATATGTGTGTACCTTACTCTATGCATCTGAGACTTCACTTCCTCTATGTTTCACAGGCCTCATTCTGTCCGCACCCCCTTCATTGACGTCCTATCCCCAGTTCCTCAGACGATAACCATGTTTGGAGATGTCTTTTAAAGAGGTGATGAAGATAAAACGAGGATGTTGAGATCGATCCTGATCCAACCTGACTGCAGGTGTCCTTGTAAGCAGAGGGAATTTGGACACACAGAGGGGACACTGGGGACAGAAGAAAGACCATCAAGGACACTCCTCGGCAAGACAAGGAGAGAGGCCCCAGAGTCAAATCAACTGTGCTGACTCCTCGATTCTGGACATCCACCTTCAGAACCGTGAGTTGATGGTTTTTGTGTTCAAGTCACCAAGGCCGCAGTAATTTGTCACGCAGCCACAGAAACACTACAGAAGAGAAAGTGGGTTTTGTTTTCTTTAACCAGGGATTGAGCCCAGAGATTCCTAACCACTGAGCCACATCCCCAGTCCTTTTTATTTATTTATTTATTTATTTTTATTTTGAGACCAGGTCTTGCTGGAAAAGGAAGGTTTTAAAGACCTCGCTCTGGTTTTCCATTCCTGTCTAACAAGCTACCCTAAAGCTTAGGAAGGGACGATGATGGTTTTATTTTGCAAATGACCTTGTGTTTAATAAAGAGTCCAAACCAGCGCTTGGTATTTTCCGTGTTGCTTCGGCTGGAGCTGGGGACCCACCCTTGCTCCCACTCTGCTCCCTGGCATGGCTGCCCGCTCTGCCGGGTGGACTGGGCAGCTCAGCCTGGCCTGATGACTGGGGCCTTTGATTTACTTCTGGGGAGTCTCATGGGCTCCCTGGGTCTCTTCCCAGGGTGGTGGCTGGATCCCTAGAGTGGGTGTTCCAGGGGGAAGCAGAGCAGAGCTTCCGTCTCCTGCGGCCTGGGTGTGGAAGGTGGGAGCCCGGTGCTTGGGCTCTGTTCTAGTGTCCAGCAAAGCTACTAGGACCAGTTCAGATCCAGGAGAGGGGTGCAGAACCCACCAGGAAATGAGAGGAACGGTGAAGAATTCACTGGCAGCTTTAATCTATTACGAACGTGATCGCACAAAGACGTGATTCCCACATGTAGGAGGTGATCACAGAATCCCAGGTTTGGAAGATGAAATAAACTCACTGAGAAGAACTGAGAAGTGGACTCTTGAGCACAGAGAGGGGAACCAGTGGAGTCCACCTAATATGCACCATTGCATCCTCAAATACTCCGGAGTGGAGACCTCACGTCCCTCTGGAACTGGAGGCAGAGGTGCAGGGAAAACAGAGATGGGGTGTGAACTGCAATAGGGAAGGACCCCTGCTCCTGGGACCCCCTCCCAGCCCAGGCTGCAGGACGTCTACCTTAACAGCAAAGGGGGTGCTGACCGACTGGAGAAGGCAGTCCCTAGCATTTGCAGTGGGACCCACGTTAGGGGGCAGGGGTCCTCTGCGGGAGACCTGGTTTAGCTGATCTCACCGCCATCAAATGCTAGGACCCTCCGACCCTGTGCCATCTTTTCCCATGGCCTCCATTTTGCTGGAGCAATGGCAGAAGAGGCCACCCTAGCAGGGAGGGCAGGACTCCCTAGAGCCCCAGGCTGCAGCCCCATCTGGCAGAACTACCAGTGTGGGCCACGCTGGGTGGAGCCACTGGGAGGTGGGAACCGTGTCCCTCCCCATGGGGCCTGGGGGTGGGACTGCTCTGTCCCAGTGGGCCCAGATGGCAGAGCACAAGCCAAAGAACACCTCTGAACACTTGACCACCCCATAAAGCTGGCCTTTGCTGTTTGGAGCTTGCCAGGGGCCCTGCACCTCTTCCTTCATTTCTATTTCTCCATTGTAGAGTGGAGTTGTGGGTCTTCTGTCTGTCCTGTCTGTCCTGCCATTGTACTTTTTTTTTGTTTGTTTGTTTGTTTTGTTACTGGGGATTGAGCTCAGGGGCACTGGACCACTGAGCCCCATCCCCAGCCCTATGTTGTATTTTTTTAGAGACAGTGTCTCACTGAGTTGGTTAGCACCTCCTAAGTTGCTGAGGCTGGCTTTGAACTGGTGATCCTCCTGTCTCAGCCTCCTGAGCCTCTGGGATTACAGGTGTGCACCACTGCACTTGGCTCTGCTGTTGTACTTTTGCTTATGTGTGTGGTGCTGGGCATTGAACCCAGGGCCTCATGCGTGCAAGACAAGTATCCTACCACGGAGCTACACTCACACTCCCTGTCCCCTTTTTGAGGTGTGTCTCGCTGTGTTGCCCAGGGTGGTCTCAAACACTGTTTTTCCCCTGGGAGCTGAGACCATAAGCCTGTACCCCACCCTGTCACACTGTTGTATTTTGGAAGCACTTAGGTGGTTTGGTTTCACAGGTTGGAAGGTGGGGAGGAATCTGCTCAGGATGAGTTATTCTCTGAGTCTCACCCGTAGCTGATTTAGACAACATGCTTGGAATTGGAGTTTAAAATTGAAGCTGGAATGATTTAAGAAATTTGGGGTGGTTGGGACGGAACAAACATACTTTACATGCAGAAAGGACATGGGGGGGCTGGGTTGGGTTGTAATGGACTGAATATTGTGTCGCTCAAAATTCATCTCATGTGTTAACATCTGGACCCTCGAACGTGATGGTACATGGAGACGAGGGCTTGGGAGACGGTTAGATTAGGTCATGAGGGTAGGGTCTTTATGGTGGGATCAGTGCCCTTCTAGGAAGAGTGGGGGACATGAGACCTGTCCCTGCCTGCTGGCTGCCATAAGAAGATCCTCACACACCAGGAAGAGTGCCCTCACCAGACCTGGCACCTGCAGTGCCCTGATCCTGAATGTCTCAGCCTCCAGAGCTGTGAGAAAGTTTGTTAATTAAGCCACCAGCCTGGGTAATTTGTCACCAGAGCCCAAATCAGCCAAGACAACCAGGAAACTCTTTACTACGCTGTTGCTCTCTGGCACTTTATAAAAACTGTTGTTGCCTAAATTTTTTTTGATGATTTTCTTTAGCAGGAAATGGCTCTGCCCACCTTAGGTTGACCCTGCAGCCTTGGTTTCCCGACCTGCTCTGTCACCCCCTGGGGAAGGCGATGCAGGGGCCGCTGGTCTGGGGAGGGGCTGAGCAATGCGATGGCGTTATAACCAGTCCCATAGAGGACCTTCGGGTGCTCCTGGGCCCTTCAGTCAAAGCCCAGCTGCCTTCTGAATCCTGCTGGATGTCACTGTGTGCTGGACACTCTCTGGTCCAAGCTTGACTTGGAAGGAGAGCCTTTCACGGTTATCTCAGCACCCAAGGGATGTGAATTTGATTCTCTTTTCATCCCATCATCTCAACAGCAAAAGCACTGGAGGATTTTGTTCTGAGATCCTGTTCTGCATCCTTGGCTCTCTCCCGACAAGGCACAAAACTGCGGTGAGCTGGGTCATGTGACTTAAAAGAGGAAATTAAATGAAGTTTAAACCCGGAGCGAGTCTTATCTGGGGAATGCTGCAGATAGCAGAACAATTATTCAGAGCAATGAAGGGACCAAAGGGGCCATCCTGCAGGTGTTCCCATATTGTCCCTGGGCTCCGGGCAGAGAATGGAGGGAAAACGTGGAAAAGTTTTGAACCTGAATGTCAGAGGCCCTGTGACATTATCACCCCTCAGGGCGAATGTGTCCCGGGCATTGTCCTTTTCTGTTGGAACAAGCTCCAGGATTCTCACTGCTACCCTTGGCTCACAGAGGGTCAGTGACTGCTCGGAGCAGAAGGAGATTGGGCAGTGCAGAGAGGGCTTCAGGAACAGCCCAGACCTGGAGTGACCGGCACTGGAAACCTCTCCCCTCCTCCTTGGGAGAGACATCTGACTTTTGTTTTTTGAAGTTTTGAGCTATCTTGTTTAGTTTCTGACCCTCTGCCTTCTAAACGCTTCCCACTGTGAGTCTGAGGAGGAGACAGTGTCCCTTTTCTCCTTATGAAGGCCAAAGAGAGTGTGTGAGAAGCTTGCTCCCTGCTCCTGGAGGCCCAGGCAGGACACAGGAGGGTCGAGAAAGTGCACTATCCTTGCTTGTCCTAGTCATGTGACAAAGGCTTAGTGTCTTGGCCCCTCTGTTACGTCCTCTCTTCCTAGTGGCCCTCCCTTGCTCCTCACCAAGACAAGAAGCAAAACTGAGCCAATGGATGAGTCTGGAAGTGGAATTTGAGCACGGCTGGCCGGATTCTTTCATCTTCTTCTTTGGCATCTAAATCCTCGCAAACTCTACCCCTTGGCCTCCTGCCTCTGTGAGCAGGGGAGAGAGGGAGGGCCATAGTTGCCCACCTGTGTCTGCCCCTGGGTTGGGCGGGTCTGTCCGGTTCAGGGTGAGATGTTAGCCATGCCACTTAGCTTCAGACCTAAAGCCAGTTATTCCAAGAGTCGTATCAGTAATAAAGAAAAATACTTCAGTCTCCAGCTGCCTGAGTTTTTAGTTTTATTCTTAATTTGTTCCAAAATCTGGAGGGGAAAAAAGATATTGTTTATTGGTTTTTGAACAAACCTCGTATCTTAATTCACAGAGCTACGAGATACGGGATTTGTGCAGTGGACAGAGTGAAGCTGGGAAAGTGGGGGGAGTTGCACAGATGTGAAGCCTTCTCACCTCTGTCCTGATCACACGGTCCACGGTGGGGGCTGACCCAGGCAGCTCTCTGCAGGCCTTGTCTAGAGGAAGTAACCGATGCTCTATGGCTGTGGCCGACCTTGCCAAATGTGGACCTTAGGTCTTAACAAATCTGGCCCTTTGGGTACACGCTGATATTGCTGACCGCAGCTGACTTCAAGTAAGGCTGACACAAGGATTAAATCATTTTAGGATTTAGTAGGTTGGAAATATCTGGTGTTTACTGTTTTTCTCAGAAAGGACCCATTGAACTCTGAACAAGTGAGTTTCCTTCTAGCACAAACACAGAACACTATATCACCTATAATGAATTCTGTTCTCCTCTGGGTATTCTGAATACTATTTAAGGTCAAGAGAGTCACCTTGTCACTGTGTAAGGGCTGATCCCTGTCTCAGAGTTGATTCCCCAGAGACCCCAATGTTTGTCAAATTGTCTCTACTTCTCTGAGACAGACTGTCATAGACAGTTTTATGTGGCTCTAACAAAATGCCTCAGGCTGGAAGATTTATCAAGAAAAGAGGTTTGCTTGGCTTATAGTTTCTCGATGTCCAAAAGCATGGATCCTCTTTGGCTTCTGGTGAGGGTCTCATGGTGATGGCATCCCAGGGTGGGAAGGCAGGCTGGGGAGTGAGCTGACACATTTGCAGAGGTAACCGTGGCTCCCCACCACTTGCTCTCAACAACTAGCCCGTTCCAGGAGAGCCAGACCAG